CGGGCGGCTGCGGCCCGGCTGCCGAGCGCGTGGGCTTCGGGCGGGCTGCCTGCGCCGGGGCCCTGCTTCGTTGCGTGGCAGCTGTGCTGTTTCGGTGGCTGTGCCCAGTGTCCCCCTGTCCGCCGACGGACTGTTTTTGTTCGTCTGTCGCTGCGTTTTTGAGATTAGCAAGGATTATGGTAATGGTAGTCGTTACCTCTGAGCGCTGACCGTGTGCCGGCACTTAGCTAAACTCTTGGTGAGGTTTTTCTAAATCGGTCCTTGTAACTGCCCTGGGAGGCCAAAATGACTTCCACCTCTCTACTGGGGGGGATCCGAGAGCTCAGAAAGTTTGAACACTTCCAGGCAGAGCTGAGATCAGATGGGGTAGCGTGTGAAGTGTGTGGCACGCGGCTTGGCACCCACGAGGTGCTCAGTGAGAGACGTTGTTGGGAAATGGCACACTTAGAGAGTAGGTAGAGAGGCCGGGAATGGTGCTTTCCAGACATCATTTGGCCAAGGCCTCGTGCACCTGGGGGAGCATTTGATTGAGGTGACATTTATTTAAAGTACAGAAAACCCAGTCTTAAAAGTCATTGAAGCTGCTCTTGCAGGGGTTTGTGCGTTTGGTAACGATTTTGACTGACTGCACTACCAGGTTCCAGTATGCTAGGCCACCAGGGTGGAGTTGATTGAGCTGTTCTCTGCTGCTCCAGTTCTCCTGGGAATCCCCTCTGGTCCTGGGAGATGGCCTGAGACCTGGCATGGCTCCTGGACTGGTGGAGCTGCTCCTTAGGGTGACCACGACACAGCATTTTGAGCACAAGTAGCGCCCTTTCTGTTCTCTGCCCAGCATCAGTGTGGGGGAGAGAGTTCTGCCTGCGTGTCACCCTGCTTGTTGGTCTTTGTCGCTCTCCATCTCTCCCCGCTACCGTGTCTACGGGGAATTTCTTTGTCTATGTTCCAGGCACCCAGCGGGCGACACTGTTCTCTCTCTGGGTCCCTCTGCTTGCTGGTCTATTTCAGCTGCACGGCAGGAAAGGCTCTTGGGACTCTTACAGGTGTGGAGTCAGAGCTCCTCCTGCTGCTTGTGCCCTTGTCCGTGGCTCTACCTTGCTGCTGGTCCTGCTGACTCCTCCTCCCGGGTCCAGTCTCCATGTATAATATATGTTTGCTCTCAAAAAGGCGATTTCATTGTCATTAGTGCTTCTAGCCAGACTCTGGAGTGTTGTGCCTGACCCACGTTCAGGAGTATGGCCTGGCACTCACCTAACTGATGTTACAGTGTTTAAATTCAGGCTTCACCATTTTGTAGGTGTTTGACCTTGGGCAAATTGTGATCGCTCTGTGCCTCAGTTTCCTTATTTGTTGCATGAGCACCAGCAATGTTTCTCCAAAGCAGTAGCAAGGATTAAGTACAGGCAAAACTATTTAGTACGGATTCTAGTTGCAGAAAACTGACTGGTATTTGTTACTGTCTTTTGGATGCGTGTTTTTACTGAGATGTATTTACAAAACTCATCAAAAGCTATAAGGCAACACGTCATAGGTGAGGCTGGAGTCTCCTGTGAGACTTTCGTTGCCTTTTCCTACTCTTGTCCTGGGATCACCGCTCTCGGAATATGTGTTAGCTTGTAGGCAAACTTCGGCATATTCACTTCTTTTGTGTGCCTGATGGATAATTGGCGAACTGGGGTGTCCTTGAATTAAGGACGTAGGTGCTTGTGAACACCCCCAGTGCTCAGGGTTCATTCTCCACCTCGGAGGCCCTCTCTTGTCTTCCGAGTGTGAGGGGTCTGGTGGGAGCAGAGGTTTCTGGTTTTGCTAGCAAGGCTCCATCCCAGTGGCTGTCTTGGAGGCAGATGAAGGGGCTTGAGGGGGCCACAGGAGGCTGGCAGTGACACAGTCTGTGCTCTGCAATGCCACCTGTGTTTGATTTGAGAGCTTGAGGCAGGGAGGCTCAGGGTTTGGGGTTGAAGTCTGGGTGGGGTTCAGAAGGAGGCCCCTCCCCTGGGAGGGAGCTCCTGTGTTGGGAAGGGTCGGGTTGAGTTTCCCCACCTTCTGGGGATATCAGATCCTGCCTGGCGCCTGGCCCCTGGGCATGATGGTGGGGCTGTGGGTGCCAGCCGGCGCAGAGGTCTTTCCTGAGGGGTCGCTGGGTCCCTCTGGGAAAACATCATTGGGTCTCTTGATTCCCCAGCCTCTAGCCCTGCCCCTCTCAGGGACGACCCTGGGGTCAGGCCCCTCAACCCTCGAGGGGGACCAGGAGCCAGCCTCCTCTGTCTTCTCTGGCTCCCCAGCTCCTCCTGAGCGTCCTCAGGTATCTTAAACCCCCGGAGCATTTCCAGGCCCGTCCCCTGGTCCCCTGAGGGGTCCCTGGACTTGTTTGTGGACCCAGAGGCCTGATCTCTCCCTTTCTCCATCAAGTCCCTTCCCTTTGGGGGTGGCCTCCCTGGGGCTTGGGGCAAAGGCACCAGCGCGCCGGGTGGGGGCCCGCCTCCTTTCTCCGCTTATCCTGCCTCCCTCCCTTAACCCAGAGCGGGACAAGGAGAACCGGCACAGAAAACGCAGCCACAGCCGCTCTCGAAGCCGGGACCGCAAGCGCCGGAGCCGGAGTCGCGACCGGCGCAACAGGGACCAGCGGAGTGCCTCGCGGGACAGGCGGCGACGAAGGTACCAAGACTGGGGGGGGGGTCCCCGGCAGGGCCAGCTGGGTGTGTGGTGTCAGCTGGCTGGTGGGCGGCCTGGGTGTGTCTTTGTCTGGACCCTCTGTGGCTACATCTTCCTTGTTTGCATCTGGGGGCGGACTCTGCTGCTTGGTCTGTTTTGAATTTGGTTCCCCGTTTCCCGGGTCTCCTTCATTTTTCTCTGTTGGTGGTTGCTGGTGGGTTGCTGGGGCAATAGATTCTTTATCTGGAGACCGGGCGTGATTCTGTCTTTCTTTGACAAGGGGCTGTTCTCGCTCCCTGACTCTGGGGCTCGTTTTTCTTTCTGGCCTTTGTGGTTCTGTGTGAGAGTTGCTTCAAGGGGGTGGGTCTCTGTCTCCAGTTTCTTTCTTTCCTATCTCCCAGGAAGAGAGAGTTCTTGGAGTGAGGCAGTGCCTACAGCCTGAGCTTGCTTTCCAGCTCAGGGGTATCGGGTTTCTGTTTTTCTAATGCCCCCCTTCCCACCAGACTCCCTCTGTCCTCTGCCCCTGGGTGAGGAAGGGCAGGATGGGTGGAAAGCTGGCCTCACTGGTCTGTCTTCTGCTAGAGAGCAGTCTATTCTGGCCCTTTTCTTCTTTTGCTTTTTACTGGGTGTGGGTGTTTGGGGGGATATGACTGGCCTGAGGGGGTCCTGCCCTGGCCCCTGGGCTCAGTGCCCTTTGGGGGGGTGTGGCCTGTGGGGAAGATGAAGGTCCCCAATCACCCCTTCCCATACCTTTCCCATCCCCCAGCAAACCTTTGACCAGAGGCGCTAAAGAGGAGCACGGTGGATTGATGTGAGCTTCTCTTCCTGCCCCTTCCACCCTGATGTCCACTCCCTTTCCTCATGCCCTGTGCACCCTGCCCTGCCCTGCCCTGCCCATGTCCATGTCCATCCCTGGCCCAAGCACTGGGAAAAGAGCCCACCTACCTTGAAACCAGCACCCCTTCCCCAGGCCTGGCCCCAGCCTTCCCCAGTTCCTCTCCCTCCTGGAGAGAGCGGAGTTTATATGGTGGTGGGGGGATCAGGGGCACCTGGGAGGGGGCTTGCAGGCCCACTGTTGGTCAGACTGAGGTTGCCCTGCCTACTCTCCCCTTCCCCCTCCCCCAGTCGTTCCCCCCGCCATGAGAAGAAGAAGAAGGTCCGTAAATACTGGGATGTGCCACCACCTGGCTTTGAACACATCACCCCCATGCAGTACAAGGCCATGCAAGGTAGGCCCTGCCAGGCTGCTCCTGGGAGTGGAGGATGGAAGGTGGGGGAGGGGACAGATGTGATTCTGTTGATTCTCTTGGGTGTATTCTCTTGGGTGTATTTGAGGGACCAAGCAAACAGGTGGAGGGGTACTCCCCTGGGTGTCTTACCTCTGCCCTTTGACATCCCCTGGAAGAGATGGAGATGGTGTGAGGCACCATGGTTAGGGGGATGAGACCTCCCTCCACCGCTAGGTGCCGAGGAGAGGGTCTGGAGGCTGATAGTGCAGAGGGCCTGGAGGAGCCGGGAAGGAGAGTCCTCAGGGCTGGTGTGTGGCCCTGATGTGGTTGATCCCGGTTTCATCTCTTGAAGCTGCGGGTCAGATTCCAGCCACTGCTCTCCTCCCCACCATGACCCCTGACGGTCTGGCTGTGACCCCGACGCCCGTACCTGTGGTCGGGAGCCAGATGACCAGGCAGGCCCGGCGCCTCTACGTGGGCAACATCCCCTTTGGCATCACTGAGGTACTGCCCTCCCCTGCCCACTCCCTCGCCCTCGCTTCCCCACCCTGTTCCTCCCCTTCCCTCC